GATATTTGTACTCTAGAAATATCCGAGAAATTCGCCCGCACTAAAATAATAATTTGGCGTGCTGGATAATAAATCGCTGATTAAGCGTTTTGTCGTGTAGTATCGCTGAGTATTTTTATTCGTTGTTTGTGTTTTGACTCGCCCTATTGGCTCGTCAAAATACGGCACAACTCGTAAAAATACTCAGCGATACTACACAACAAAACTGCACAACTTACACACTGATACTACACCGATACATTTATTCTGCTCACTCATTAGTAGTCTGAATCATTCAGCGGAGGGTTTTTCACTACGTACATTCAAAGGGACCATCCGGCTTCGTTTTCGTTTTCGTTTTCGTACGCCCAGTGCTATTTAGCTTACCGTATGATAACCGAGCTCTGCATTTTTTCCCGTACCTAACGATCGAGGTACTGGCAATGGCGGAGACTAAGTTTTGGCTCTTTACCCTGGTAAGTTAGTGCAAAGGATTCTCATTTGTTTCAATATTTTGCAGATTCGATTCATGAAGTAATCAATCGAAGTACTTCTCTTATCTTGAACTAATAATGTTAAACGGATAAACTACAATAGAACTTATTCGTTTCGGCTTTCCTCTAAAAGCTTAAGAGAATGCATTTTTTTTAGGAGGAAAGAAGCAATTCATGATTCACTAACAAATCCGTTTACATTTTAACGCTTAGAACTAAAGAGTATGGATTCAAAAGGTTTCAGTTATTCGCAAAATGAGGAATTTATCATTCTGTTCTGCACAGCTTACACCATAAATTTCCAAGCTAGAAAGCATTATTTTTATTAAACGATGAAACGATACAAAGGTGAGAAATTATTGCTATTACAATTAATTTGAAATTTGGGCTGCTGACTTTTGCAAGTGATTGCTTTGTTTCATCCGTGAGGTGGAGAAAAAAGCTAAACACAAAGGTAGAGATGTCGAACTCGAACAAATTTACTCATAAAGGGAAATGTTCCATTTGATAAATTCACTTGGGGGTTATTGTTGTTTGGTTCTAACTATACGAAAAGATCCTATCAGAGCACAGTTAGTACATCGTAAATTCTAAGTGGTAGAATGTGCTGAGTTAACAAAAATTTCTAAAAGAAAATGAAAGTGCATACTTTTCTGGCGACTTGATCCTTCGGTAACTTCAAGAGCTCAAGAAGAAAACAGCGATCTCGCATATGTTAATGTTTTATGTATGAATTATGAAGCAGCAATAAATACGCCGACTTTTTCCACGACTAAAGTAGGGTTGTTGAATTTATTTTTCTTTTTCTTTTGCCTTTAACAGCTGCTTGTTGTTATGGTGTTTTTGCCTTGGGTTTCGTGTTCCCCGATTTCCCAGTGCAGCCCAACAGAGTTTTCAGTGACCGTTGAGTCGATGGCACGTCATCAAAAGGCCAAAAGATTCTTGCTAATCACCGAAAATCTTAACGGTGAATTCAGTCTGTCCTTCACTGGGAGGAAAGGAGCATCAGGAACAAGTGAGAAAACTAGTACTTACTGTAAATTGATCATGCTCAAAGGAGTTACGTCACGGTTTTAGAATCTTCAAAATTTCATCCAAAACTTTTCAAATTGGCTGACGTTTACAATCCCCGTGAATTAATGCCATCTTTTACCACCATTATTCTTTCTATCTTTCTCCTTGCCGTTTTAATGTTTGACTACCTCAACAAAGTTAAATTTTCTAAATCCCCCTACGTAAATTGAAATTTTGCAAGTCACAGACACCGGTCAAAATGTCTTGACGAGGCTCCTTAAATGGTCGACTAGGCGACATGCAACTTCCGCCGTCAGCTGCGCTGACTTGGTGCAGGTAAACCCTCAGATGTCTCCGTTGTTATTCAGCCTAACGATTTTCAAAGATTCCTGAAAAAGTGCCTTTTATTCCGGCATGCGAAAATCCCCTCCCCAATGAGCTTGTTCTTTCGCAGATAGGCGGGTTACAGCTAATTTTATCAAAAGAAGGTTTATTGGGTTGCCAGTGTTCATGTACGGAACCGGAAATAGCCTCTAAACATAAGTTTTTCAGGCGATAAGAGCATTTAAAAAACATTTGGGCGCTTACATGGGAAAAAGGCTTTTTTTATAAAAAATACATGCTATTCACTCCTTTCCAGTGCACGAAGTTGTAATACGGCTTAAGATACTAAGGCACCTCTAGATCAGAGAAAAAAATTAATTATAACATAACCAAAGTAAAGCGCGCGCTCTGATTGGTCAATTTAGCGTCCCCCATTTACCCATGGGTGTACGCTGCTGACGTGAGCAAATGCAAAGACTATTTTTCCGCGCGCGCTTGTTTTTTTCTGGTCGCGTGAGATTTGTTAAATAAAAGGGAACTCTTTAGCTACAATGTATCAATGTTATGTTATAAAACAAATGGTAAACACCACAGCGTACACTATTGAGTTATGGATGCACTTGGGAGGTTTGCTAAGCACTCAAGAAGCTAGAGTCGCTCTCGGCTATCGCCTCGAGCGACTCTTACGCTTCTTTCGTGCTTAGCAACCTCCCGCGTGCATCCATAACTCAATAGTGTACGCTGTGGTGTTTACCATTTGTTAA